CAAAAATTTGCTTTATTTGCATCTGTCAACCTTCATGAAGGAGGACATCTTGTAATGTAAATATTGCCTGAAATAAACGATATTTCATTATATTATATTATATATATTTATTAGATTCCTTTCATTTGCCGGAAATTTTACCATAGGGGTTAATTTATACAGAGAAGATTTCTTATAAAATATTTACAGCATAGTTATGTGTCTCAAATCTGCTAAAAGTGGCCACTTTTAGCAGATATGAGATACATAACTATACTTCGAACTTTTCATATGAAATCATAACTGCATAAATACCCCCCTATGATAAAATTTTCGGCAAATCATAGAAATCTAACGTAGCTATAGTACTGTAGTTAAAACGAATTAAAAACTTCTAGCGCTAGCTACTTCCGTGCCCTTTCACCTTAAGGGTATTTATTTTTCTTCTGAAGTAAAATTCGAGCGGTGCATGCTGTCTTATGTCTGATGTCAGCATTATTAATATATTATGTTATCATATTATTAATATATTGTTTTTGTTTTCAGATATTTGGCAACTGGTAATACATTCACTGATCTACACTATTCCTATGTGATTGGAATTGCAACAATTAGCGAAATAGTAAGACAAGTTTGTTACATAATATGGATTGAACTAAAGTCTGAATGTATTCCACAGCTTAATGGGATCAAATGGAAAGAAATCGCAGAGGGATTTCTCACATATACAAATTTTCCTAATTGCTTGGGTGCAATTGATGGAAAACATATAAGAGTGATTCGGCCGCCGCACAGTGGATCACTATATTTTAATTATAAGAAATATTATTCTGTAGTGCTCCTCGCAATGTGTGATGCTGATTATAATTTTACATATATTAATGTCGGTACCAGTGGAAGCAACGCCGATTCAACCATCTTTAGAAGGAGTCAATTGTATACGAAACTGGAAAGTAACACGTTGGGTATCCCTGACCCGCAAGAGTTGCCTATTATTTGCCCCGAAGTAGCTTATCCATCTAGTGTAAGAGCAAAGTTGCCGTTCGTGATAGTGGGAGACGAGGCATTTGGTTTATCATCACATGTGATGCGGCCTTATGCTCGTGATAATTTACCTTACAAAAAGAAAATATTTAATTACCGTCTGTCCAGAGCTAGAAGGTACATAGAATGCACTTTTGGAATTATGTCAAATAAATTTAGAATATTTCACAGATCCATGAATGTCAAGTTAGATCTAGCACAATTAATAGTCAAGACGGCATGTGTACTTCACAATTTCATAAGGAAACGGGATGGCTACAAGGTCAGCCATACATTTGTCACAAATGGTTTTACGGGACCACTACCCAGGCAGCAGACTGAAAGTAGTAATACGTCGGCAAGTAATATCAGAGATATATTTGCAGATTACTTTATCAATGAAGGAAAAGTCTCCTGGCAACACCTATATATAATTAATTAACTAAACTCAAAAGGTTTTAGAAGGTTTTTGATGTTATTTGTGAATTAAATAATTATGCTTATATTAATAAAGTAATGATGCTTGTATAAATAAAATAATGAACCAAACACATACCCGCCTCTTTTCTTTCCTCTTCGCTCAAATTTTCGTAGTTAGGTGCCAATTCCTTCAAAATATCTCTCCATGCAGCCTCCCTCGCGTCCCTGTGTTTGTATAATTCATTGCGTTTATCCCACAAAACGGGCCGCAGATGAACTTCAATGATTACTCGTTCTGTATCGATTTTCATTTCGGTAGTACAATACGGCGCGTGCGCCCCGCTCGACTCTAAAATGGGCACTGAAGTTGTAGGCAGCGCTTACGCATGCGGATACCCCGCACCGGGGTGACGCCCCGCACAGCGCCCCGCGTCCCGCGTGCGTTTATCACGCTTTACAATAGATACCTATATGAAATTGTTCTTTGCGGATGCTACGCATGCGGTCCAATCCCGCGTGCGTGAGCAAATCCGCGTGACACTAAAAGCGCCCTTAGCCGGGGTGTACACAAAAAGGTTACGGGGGCTACTAACGGGGGAAAAAGCAACATAGAGTTGGCCATGTGCAAAACAGTCAGTACTGAGGTACACTCCTACAACGCGTAAAGTTTGACCTTGCACTTTATTTACGGTCATCGCATAACACACACTCACTGTAACTGGGAACTGAACGCGCTTAAAACTGAAAGGAAAGTTACTTCTTAATAGAGGGTTTTTGGGCAGTGCTGCCAAATAAAAAAAAACTCATTCAGCTCTAGGACAACACAAAAAGCGCTAGATTTCATGAAAACAGCGCTTTAAAAAAGCCCTAGATTTCGCGCTAAATTAACTACAAACAAAGTTTGTGTTTTTTTATATAATCATAATAAAGAAAACAACATTAAGATTTTTTTCTGGCAATATTTTTTTGATGTATCAATACTTCGCAGGACATCGACTTATAATTATAGCAATTGCTGTCAACAGTAATTAGTACTGTACGAACAATAAAAATGTCATTAATTGTTTTAAAGTGCAATGTATTTCGCAACTTAGTTTCAGATGTCAGCATCTGATTGCGGTTGCTACCCAGTTTCTTTGTGTTTTAACTTCTAAGTAACTTTTAACTTAGCTGTGCTCTAAGCAACTGACTAAAACTGAATAAAGCAAAATAAATGCGTTGCCAAAACCATGAACGAAAACTTTGATAAAGGGGATTTCCCCGCTTATAGTCGTCGGTAAAAAAATCAAGTTGATCATCCTAAAGGGGAAGCCAGGAGATCCATAGCACAGGGTATCCTAGTTTGGACTCGTCTCCCATGCTCTTTGTTTTGTGGAAAAAATATGTTTGAAAAAGATAAACTGCAATGTACTATTTGTGGGAAAAAATAATAAAGGTCATTATTATTATTATCGGTAATGTGGACTAACAGTGCTGCTATAAAAGAGTTAATAACCCGCTTGTCGCTAAAATATTGAAATGTGTGCTAAATACACCAAAAAGCGCTGGATTAAGCGCTAGGTGCTAAAATTTCGAAATGCGCGCTATACATTCCAAAAAAGTGCTAAATCTAGTTCCCAAAGCGCTAAAATGGCAGTTCTGATTTTGCATTTTGCATATATTATATTATTTAAATAACGTAAATTTTTATTTTTGGTCTGGATCCGTTGTATGGCTTCGATGGACACAAATTTCTTCAGTAAGTCTCAATACGATTCATCGGCGAAAAATCTCAACACAGCAATTCAGAAAATTTTGTAATTTGTACAACTCCATCTATTACGTCCTTTGTGTGAGAAAACATCCTATCTCTTTTTGTGTTTTAAGTATAAATATATTAATTTTTATGGAACGTTTTTTTTACACAGAAATCTTTTTATTACTATTTCTGAGATTTTATGGCGCCATTGAACAAATTCGAACCTACATTTCATAATAATAATCATTACTTTCGATGAATGAACCAATTTTAATAAAACAAAGATTAAATGTAACTCGAAGATACGCTTTATGATATTCTTAACGATTTCTTTGAAAATAAAAGATGTTTACTTTAGACGTGATGCGTTCATATAATAACAGACAAATAGACAGACAGACAATTCTAAAAATTATAAAATGTTCTTATTTAATTATTTTCAGTTCCCCATAATGATTTTAGCCACCAAAATATATATACAATGTACAGAAAGAGACACAACATGTTATCATCATTTTTATTATATGTATATATTTAAAGAGAGATGGCGCTGCTAACATCATCAATTCTAAAAATAAAAGAGATTAATTGACGCGATTGATACATTATATAAAACGTAAGAGAACTTATAAATCAGTGCCTGCACAGTAAGCAAAAAATAAAGTTTGACTCTCGGCAAAACCAATGCAATTGTTAATAGCTCTTTTAAAATTTGATTTACCACATAGAGTACTCGGCGGTAAAGAATAAATTGAGTTTGTCAACACGCAGTAGGGCAGCGAGTAATATAATAAAGATTAGCATTAAAAATGAAAACTCATCTACAGGAAAAAACCACATTTGCAATTGCATTACATTTTCACAACACCACCATCTATCGAAGAAATGGGTTAACTATTGTGCTTCAGATTTAGTTAATAAGGTTAATATATTTTATATTTTTGTATAATATATTTAATACGTTCTTTATTACTTTTGTTTACTGCGTTTTAGATATACATAATTATATCATTATTTTACATAATTTAACTATGATTTATGATATGATATTAGTTTAAAATGCACTTGATGACTCAAACAAAGCCACCGTTGAGCAAATTCGTACCTATACTTCCCTACCCATACTTCAGAATATTTATCATAACTTTTGATGGAATGAACTGATTTTAATGAAATAAAGACTAAATGTAACCCGAAGATACACTTTATAATTTCCTTAACAATTCTTATGATATAAAATAGTACTTTATACGTGATACGTTAACAAACAAACAGACAGACAGACAGACAGACAGACAGACAGAAAATTCTAAAAATGGTAGAAATGTATTTAATTACTTATTTTTAGTACCCCTCAATCACTTTTATTACAAAAATATAAAATGTACAGACATCTGCTATTTACAGTTTTATTATATGTATAGATAACAATAAACTTTCATCTTATATTTTATGCTGCACTTGTTGTTGAAAATTATCAAAATAAATAAATTAAATCATTTGCCGTGAAATATTTTTATTTTATATATCATTTCATTTGAACGTTTCATTTCTACCGCGTGTGAGCTGCATACATGTTTTTTACGGAATCACAAAAACTATTAAATGGTTTTTATTATTTAAAAAAAACAATTCATACGTAACTTTTGGGCTGCAATCTTACACAAAAATGCCTATTAGCCACGTGCCGCGTCTCTAACCTCCTCAGCCTTGCACCCTACGTAACCTTGTCTTTTATCCCTAATGAACTATTTTGATGCTATTGTTTATTATTTCGTATTTAGTTTTAACCCTAATACATTTTATGTTAAAATGTTTTATTATGTAATTTATTCGACAGAAAGAGCCGCAAGATATAGCTGCGAGCATCAAAGCGCTAGCTCGTTCAGTGCACGGAGACGTGTATGAACTGCCACGTCCGCGTTTCTCTACGCAGATCTAGCTTTGACTTACGCTACAAGATTTAAGCTTCTTCCTTTGTAAGAGTCATCAATAGATGTGTTGTGTATAAGGACAAGTACCGCTCCACTGAATTAACTCAACACTATTATATATTTATCTCCGAATCGTGAAATATTTTTGTGGTTCAAAGTGTTACTATCCACACATTGGTGCTTTTGATATGTGATCAAACTGACCCTAAATCAAAATAATGGATGTCATCCACGGACTTGGTTTGTTTGATATGGTTATTTTTATTTTATTGCTGACTTAACTGTTGATTAATATAAAAAACAATCAACAATAATGACGCTGAATTGAAAAATACGGAAATTAGTCATTCAGGTACAATTGTAGTTTTTAAGCGAGAGGCTATGAGATGTTGTTATTATATAATATTAGAGAATCAAAAATGTTTTACTCGTACATTCGTGGCATCTGCAAATAAAGCACTGATTTGCCTTCTTACGGTTTGTGACATGTTGTTATGTGGAAGCAGTATTAGATGAGATCAACAGTAAGCCTAGTTATATGAATAAAGTACATTTAAAATAAACTGCCCGATATTGTCGTCTGATCATTAAAGGGCTTTTGTGTGGTTTTGTCAGTTACTTACTTTTGACGTGAAATTCTAAAAATATGGTAATTTACTGTTTAAATGTAAGTACTTACGTTTAGTTAACTGGTGCTATTTTCTACTATAAACTTTAGAAAATATTGTGAAATATAATCATTTTTATACACTACAGTTTTAAAAAGTCAAGCGGTTATTTATATACAATACTAAAAATAAACATAAATACGGTAATCTATACACGTCAGTAAAATTGAAGTGTCTGTCTGTAATATTAAAATAACTGGCTTCTATTAAGCTCAGGGGGTTATTAGCACGCTATTAAGGCATAAAAAACCATTTTTAAAATTTTTGTCAGTCTATCTGTCCGGGCTAATCTTTGGAATGACTGAAACAATTGCGATGAAACTTTACGAACAGAAAGAGAGCAATGCCAGGAGAATTCTAGGCTATTTTATCCGAAAAACTGAAAGTTAAAAAAAATATTATAATGTCTTTGATTATCTTAAGTTTTAGTAACGCCGCATTAATAGATCCTGTCTAGGCGAAACCCGGGCGGGTTGTTAGCTTATAATAAAATTCATCTTATCTTCACTGGCTTGTTACAAAAGCTATCTGGAAGAAAATCTCATCGGAATACATCTTTATACTGCTCCACATAAAGCGTAAATTGTCAATTAACTGTGTGAAACATACTGTTACAAAAATATTGATCTGGTGTAATTTTGCTAAATGTATGTGTGTGTTTATGTCATGTCAATAGATTTTGTTAAAATATATGTATACATTTAAATATATAACTTTACATCTAAGTCATATCTCTGTTAATAGGAACGTGAGAGTTTTCTATTAATTTTTATGTCGTGTTATCTTAATGATAAGTGAAAAGTGTACAAAAATATTAATACTTGCATTTCTTGCTAGTCCTTTAGGGTCACGAATAATCATAAATACTATTGAATTAGTTCAAATAATCAAATTGGTTTTGTATCAAAATCATGAAGTCGTTAATTCTTTCGTGTGAGAATTACGAAAATATAGAATATTCTTATTTTTATATCCAATATATTGAATGTTTCTTAGACTGGATACTGGAGTCGGGGGTTGGTTTTTAATGGCGATGTGTTAATTCATTTGTCATTATGTTAGAGAGTTATTAAGTTATTAAGCCGGCTGTAATCCGCATAACATAACCATATACAGTGTCTTCCAATAGCACTGCTCTGGAAGAGGGTTTTATATAGTGATGCCAATCTTCAGTCAGTTCTTGGACATAACTATTATTATAATTATAATTTCTTTGGTGTGACGATTATGAGACGGACCTTGATTGTAAGGAATTATAGTGATCATGCAATAAAATTGACTTTGGAAATTGACTCTTCTTATTTACTGCAATGAACCAAATTATACAACTATTTATTACAACAAATATTTACTACATGTGTTTGCGACAACCCCAACGTCAACACGTTTTGTATTTCGTTAATTAGGATTGGCTGGCACAAGTTACCTCCCATATCTATGTCTTTCCCGCACATATCTAGTGTGACCTAGACCGCCGCTTATCGCATCACATCGCTTTTTTGGTCTTATCGCACGACCGTTGCATCAGATATTGATAGGTTAGAAGTGCGTTCCCAGTTAATTGTTGGTGTGAACACCTACTGTGGCGTTAAAATATTCCCTGAGTAATTGGTACCTGCCTGTGATGTTTGGCAGATGTTACCGTTGTTGAAATTAGTTAGGGGATATTATCACTATCACGAATAGTAATGAAATCACTACAGCTCGTCACAAGTTCACTGCTGAACACAGTGCTCCTCCATAGATTGCTACAAAGTACGGTCTTCAGCTACCTGCATCCATCATGAGTTGTTAGGTATATCATTATATTAATCAAAAATTAATAAAAATAAAAATGAAATTCTAACTTCGAAACATCAATAATAGGATATAACTGTAAACATCGATTACGGGTGCTATAGGTGACGCTCTACAGCAAATTATAGACTAACTGATTGAGGTAAACTATTTTATATAAATTATTAAATATCATATTACCCAGTTGCCTCCAAAGTCTCATTGGTCGCTAAAGACATATTTCATGACCATGTTTTGCGGCATTCTTAGCGACAGGTCCAATTATGTATGAGAGGACCTATGTCCAGCAGTGACTTGTGAAATGATGATGTGAAAATGTAAGCTGTCCCTATTATAAACTATAGACTTAAATTTATAGACAATATAAAAACTATAAATGTGGCTATGTTTAGATTTAGATATTTATATGGGAAAATAACGAGAACGAAACCGTAGGCTATAACTACTAGTATGCGCTAAAAATAAAATTACTACCAACTAAAAGTCCACAACAGTATTTTTCTCTTCAGAAAGAAGTGTAGAAATGTAGCTTTAGTTATCTATTATTATATTAATTTTTTCAGTGTCAAAAAGAATAAAGAATATTGGTACACTTATACTTTTAAGCTTACACTCTAGTAATAATATTCTCTTTGGTTCACCCACCATCCTCCATTTGTCCAGCTACTCTCAGATAGCAAGTCCAGCAGTCGCTGCAACTTCCTTGCAGCGAGCTCTACCCGACGAGATGACGTAAAGTACGCACTGTCCGTCTGCATATGATATCCTCTTCCCACTCCTTCAGATGGTCATGGAGTGTGGGGATATCGTTATTGTAGACCGCGTACAGGCGCAATGATATGGAGCTGCGCTGCGGCACTCTCGCTTCGTTCGGTCGTGCTACCGAAACAGCTTTTCCTAAACTGACATAGAAGCTCCGCCCCTCCAGGACCGATGCTATAAGCCGCACAAACATCGGTGGCAGGGTGGTGTTCTCGATGAGTTTATGTGGTAGCCCTGCATGATGTATACCGGTTTTGGTAGCACGATGATCTTTCCTCGTTTCCAGATGTTCGGGAAGTGATGAAGAGATGTTCTCAGTATGCCGTTATACAGCTTAGTGAGTGCCACAATTCCTGGGTAGCTGTTTTACTACCATGGATGTGATTCCGTCTAACTCTGGCGCTTTGCGGTTGGGTAAGCGCATGATGGCTCGCCTCAAATCAACTCGCCGGCGATATAAAATCATCTCCTCGTAGTGGTGGCGCCGGGTTCGACAAGAATTCCTGTACTTGGTATTGGATTGTACAGATGTGGTCAGCGTATACTTTTTTTATATAGGATAGGGTGACAAGGTGAAGGTCCACCTAATGGTAAGTGGTTGCTGTGGCCCATAGACATCTACATTTATTCTGGTTTGCGAATCAAAATGCAGATGAGTTGTCACCCGTGAGGATTAAGATGAAATGCCTCTTTTCCAGTAAAAAGGGTCTCCGGTTCTCTACACTCACCATAAGAAACACAGCAGTGTTAAGCTGCTATTTTACGCTGGTATTCTATGAGAGCGTGGTCCTTCCCCGGTCGAGCCGACCCATTCGTGCTACAACTATACTACTATGCAGCATGGCTCTACCACGTACAACGATGTTAGGCTTGAACTGGATCTCAAGGCGCTGTATCTTTTTCCCGCGTGTTCTTAAGAGCTGTTGGTTGAGGAGAGGTGCAGGGAGGCGAGTATCTCCAAAGCTTCGTCGAATCATGTCCCCCATGTTTCCCCCCTGTGCGATTTTGTTGCTTGCAACAGCTCATCTGTTACTTTGTTTAGCTTCCGCTTTAGAAGTTGGCATCGTATCGTAGCCGTAAGCTCAAGTCGGTAGCTTAAGGGCTAAGCACTCGCTGTAAATTTCATAGCACGCGAGCAACCCGGATTCGGTCTCCGCCGGCATCATTGAAATTCTTAATTGCAATTTTAAGTGCTAATTTACCACGTGCTCGGCGGTGTAGGAAACCTGCATGTCTGAAAAATAAAAAAAAATTCGAAGACATGTGAAGTTCACCAACAAGCATGGGGGCAGCGCGTTGGACCATTTCCTTGCCCTAAAATCCTCTCACAAATGAGAAGAGGCCTGTGCCCAGTTGTGGGACGTATACAGGCTGTAACTTTTAACTAACTTATATCGTACTAGTGCACAGAGCTTCCGTAATGTCCGCTTCTCAGATAACATGGTTTGGAGTTTGTGTGGCAGTTCCTCTCTTCGGCGCCCCACTGAGACGGGGTGCGAAGCTAGTTGTTGGAACTCATAGATTAATGATAAGTCATCGCGCGCTCTGACTAGATACCGCCGGCGCTCATGTAAAATGCGGCAACAAATACTACGCCGAAATCGGCGTACCCAAGCCATTCGCGTTGCAGGCAACCTCCGCTAGGAGTAAAGTATTCTGTGCAGGCAACGTATGAGGTGAACGTACCGAATGTTTTATTAAATTTTGATCATAATCCGAAGTAAAATACCAGTTTACGTACCTATTGAAACTGTGTAAAAATAATACTACAAGAAATAAGAAAGGCACTGGAATCACATACTATCATTAAGTATCATACAATTTCGAAATTTTAACATAAAATAACACGAGCCATAAATAAGTCACAAAATATCAATGACGTCAGTGTTGCCGCGAATGCAAAAATGAAGTTCCCCGTGGCTGAGATTTTTATATGTGAATTTATTGCTACTATATTTTATAATATAATATATTTAACTTAATATAATATAACTTAATTCTATATTATTTAATGTTTATTTCTGTAGTATTGCTCAAATGACATAATTGCCGTTTATTAGGGTTCCGTACCCAAAGAGTATCAACGGGACCCAAGTCTCCACTATCGTTCTGTTTTCACAGTTCTGTTTTCACAGAATGTGTATTTATATTGCTGCTATAACAACATAAAATAAAAAACAAAACAAGTAAAATATTAAAGGACCCAAAAAAATCACGTTTCTTGTATGAAGACCATACAATAAACGTGATTTTTTTCTGTATTGATATGTGTTTTGTTCACAGACCACAGCGAAACCTGGATTAACACGCAATAAAATTATGCTGTGTGTATGGTGGTATTGAAAGTTTATCATGAGCTTTTACCTCAACTACCAATAAATAATGAAACAAGCAAGAAATAGAAAAAAAAAAACGGCTGGCATTGATAATCAGAAAAGGAGTGGTCTTTCATCATGATAACGCCAGATCACAAAATTAGCTATCTGTTTGAGACTTTCAATACACTAACATTCCTAAAAATCCAGTATTTGCTTGAGTACTTAAAACTGGTTTAAAAGTTTTAGTCATTATTTTCTTTTGTTGCTTGTGTTCTTTAAAAGAAAGCTTTCTGGAGGTTTTAATATTTAAGTTTATAATTTTTTTTTCCATTATAAATGGGATGACTAAATCCATGTTCGTTCAAATCTCTGGTATTGAATATATCAAATAAAACTAATTGTCGCATTTTTTTAATGAAAATCCCAAGATTTCTACAGCAACGTTTATTTTTTATTATGTCAATACCTACAAAATGGTAACAAATTATCGAACAGAATGGACCCATATATATTATAATTAAATGTAATAAAACTTTGAAACAAAAACGTCTTGAATTTGTATACAATATATAAAGAAACTTTTTCCCCGGTCTTATATACTAACTAAAGGTGTAACAAAATAGTACTTAATAGCTTAAGGACTGATTCTGCCCGTCAACATGAATATTTTTTATTATGGGATCATCTTCGAAATTTTCAATTAATACGTGATAGACCCATACTGCAGCTATATTACTGGTATAGTTGTAGCACGAATGGGTCAGCTCGACCGGGGAAGGACCACGCTCGCACAGAATACTAGTGTAAAATAGGAGCTTAACGCTGCTGTGTTTCCTATGGTGAGTGTAGAGAACCGGAGACCCCTTTTACTGGAAACGAGACATTCCATCTTAGTCCTCAGGGGTTGCAACGCATCTGCATTTTGATTCTTAACCGAGGATAGATGTATATGTCTATGGGCCACAGCAACCACTTACCATCAGGTGGACTGAGTGCTATAGTCGATGGTTTTCTGCTTAGAAAGTGGTAAATCTATATAAATTTAGATCAGTTGCAGTATGTATGTAGGATCATCATTTGAAAACGGCTGTACCGGTTTTGATAAACACACACACTTACAAATTGGAACCGGTAAGTAGCGCTGCTGTCGAGATCTAGAAAACACTCGTGCGAAGCCGGGGCTGATCGTTAGTCAGCATATACAATTGGGATTACAAATGGGATCCAACTCGCTTATGTACCGCGTGTCTGTCAAGACTTAGTATTCATACCTATATAACTATTAGTTTTTAAAGTTTGTGAAACGAATATTTGCTATTTAATATAAACTATCAGGGTAAAATGGGACGAGATAATCTATTGTAAGTGGTAGAGCCATGCTGCAGCTATATTAGTAGTATAGTTGTAGCACGGGTCAGTTCGACCAGGACCACGCTCTCACAGAATACCAGCGTAAAATAGCAGCTTAACGCTGCTGTGTGCTCGTTTGTCACACTTATCCTATAAAAAAAATAATCATAACATGATTAGAAAACAATTTACTTGATCTTTCGAATAATAATAAGTCTAGACCAATTTTCTTTATATTTTTAGACTTTTGTTAAAGTAGTAAAAATAAATAACTAAACAAAAACGAGTATATCCATGTCGATTGTTGCTAACATTGCAAACGAAATCACTATAGATTAAAGACGCCATGCTTGTAAAGTAACATCACATATAATACTACTACAATAGGGATTTTTCTAGTAAATCAGAAGATAAGTGTTCTTACTCTCATATTTGGCATAGTATAAAGAGACCAAAGATGACCACTTGACATTTCTATTTCCTGGCATGAATTACACGCAACATCTTTCAATAGATTTGTCTCTTTTTGTCTTATTTGAAAATCAAATCAGGAAAAGCGTGACAAGTATATTGGCTCTATGTAAAATTGTAGGTTATCTCTGTGCATACGTATGTATGTAATTACTCTAAGCTGACGGCCTACTTTACCACCGCGCCCGCTCATTGGTCAAATCAAATAGCGCGCGCTTCCTCGGCTTCCTGGGACACACTTCCGTCCCTTTTCACGAAATTATTCCCACAGATTGCAGGAAAGCGAGAGGAACGATGCTACTCATCAAAAAATTTACTTATAACTTATAAGCAATTAAGCAAAGAAACGGTTATTATTAAAAAAATTAAGTACAATTTTTTTTAAGCTCTTATTCACATCTCTAATTTTTTTTATAGGATAAGTGTGACAAACGTGCACACAGTCCACCTGATGGTAAGTGGGTGCTGTGGCCCATAGAGATCTACATTTATCCTCGATTACGAATCAAAATGCAGATGCGTTGTCACCCGTGAGGACTAAGATGGTATGCCTCGTTTCCAGTAAAAAGGGTCTCCGGTTCTCTACACCCATCATACGAAACACAGCAGCATTAAGCTGCTATTTTACGCTGGTATTATGTGAGAGCGTGGTCCTTCCCCGGTCGAGCCACCCAAGCAGACCCATTCGTGTTATAACTATACCAGAAATATAGCTGCAGCATGGCTCTACCACGAATAACTATTTTTTTTTATAGGAGAGGGGGCAAACGAGCATGCGGCTCACCTGATGATAAGTGCCTACCGCCGCCCATGAACAACCGCAACACCAGAGGAATTGCAGATGCGTTGCCGGCCTTTTAAAAAGGAGTAGGCTCTTTTCTTGAAGGTCCCTAAGTCGTATCGGTCCGGAAAAATCGCTGATGGTAATCGATTCCACAAGGAAGTCGTTCGAGGAAGAAAGCATCTTCTAAATCGCACAGTGGTGGACCGCCAATCATCCAGATGGTGTGGATGGTATCGGGAGTTCTGCCGCGATGTGCGTTCATGAAATTTGGCGGCTGGGATTCATCCGAACAATTTCTCAGAGCACTCCCCATGGTAGATGCGAAAGAAAATGCAAAGAGATGCAACATCTCTTCGCAGTGCCAATGAATCGAGCCGATCGGAAAGGGCTCGGTCGTCGACGATTCGAGCCGCTTTGCGCTGGATGCGGTCAAGTGGAAGGAGCTGGTACTGGGGAGCCCCTGCTCAGAGATATACTATATATAACTAATTATAAATGGTGCTCAAATTTTGTAAAATTTGCAAACTTTGTTTTATAAAAATATTCACTGGTTTTGACGGCACGGCTTACCGTAAAAGTTCACGATATTAACGTGCCGTGCCATGCGACGGCAAATAAAAGCGCCCACTGTTTATATTCTGTCAAAGAGAATATAATCACTACGTTTATCTATTCTATTTTGAATTCGTTGCTATGGTTACAGCGTCACAACAAATGTTACGCTCAAAATATAACTCTTGTAAAATTTTATATTTTTCTCTAATATACCAAGTCTAAGAGAGTTAGAGAATAAAATGCTTAACTCACGTTATAGTGCGTCTAGGAAGCCGCGTACTGCTGTCGTAATTGATGACGAAGATGAATTGTATACAGGTTTTAATGAGGTGGCACCGGCTTTAGATACACGGACACTCCACGAGGATCAAGCGTTTCAGGAGGCGATACGCACGGCTGGGATTGGCAGGCAAATGCCCAGCCGTATGGGCACTGGAGTGAGTAACTATAGTCTTGACTATGAAAAGTTTTCTAACCTTGTCTATAAATTGTGACCATTTAAAAATATTTTAAAAAACGCTTAGTTACATCTAGTTTGCCTTTTATGTGTACCCTCACGCAACGAGACGAATCGACAGACTTTTTATGTAGTAGAGCTAATCACACACTGCAGCAACAATTCCTAGATCGCCCAGTGAAGGAAAACGGTGCCACGGAATATAAAATACCAGGGTAAAATGGGACGAGAACCGGAAACACCTGTTTGTGCATTTGAATTTTTATTCTTATTCTGTGGGGTGACAAACGAGCACTCAGTAAATGTGATGGTAAGTGGATGCTGTGGCCCATAGACATCTACATTAATCCTCGATTAAGAACCAAAATGCAGTTGCGTTGTTACCATTGAGGACTATTATTGTAGTATTCTGTGACAGCGTGGTCCTTCCGCGGTAGAGCCGACAAATTGGGGCTGCAATCATAGTATAGCAGCAGCGTGGCTCTGCCACGTTGAAATTAATTCTTTATCAAAATTTTTCAGTCCGTAGGCTAGTAGGCCGTAGGCTTAGCCTTATGCTAAGGTTTATATTAGACTTTTCCAAGTATTTACAATTTTTCATCCTGGAAGCTACGATTTTTTGGGATTGATATGTCATGCAACAGCTAAATTTGTTTCAAAAAGTAATAATTCTATTGTAATTTAAGTGTATATTAATACACGTTTGTTTCGTAACGGCATCAATGATGGACACGGACAGCAATACCACTCCGAAGATGTGATTGTTGACGCTAGCTAAACAATAATATTTTCAGAAACAATAATTTCACAACAGCTTAGAGATGTCTTCAGAGTTATGCATGGCATGGTGGAATGTGTAACCATGATAATGAATATGATAATGAATATGCAACCATGCAGGCTATCCTAAAATGCGTTATCAAAAATGATTGACATTGCAAAAGATCTGTCGTTTTTTTATAGGAGAGGGGGCAAACGAACATGCGGCTCACCTGATGGTAAGTGACTACCGCCGACCATGAACAATTGCAACACCAGGGGAACCATGGGAATTGCAGATGCGTTGCCGGCCTTTTAAAAAGGAGTAGGCTCTTTTCTTGAAGGTCTCTTAGTCGTATCGGTCCGGAAAAATCGCTGGTGGTAATCGATTCCACAAAGAAATTGTACGAGGAAGAAAACATATTTTTAATCGCACAGTGGTGGACCGCCAATTATCCAGATGGTGTGGATGGTATCGGGAGTTCTGTCGCAATGTGCGTTCGTGAAATTTGGCGGCTGGGATTAATCCGAGCACTCCCCGTGGTAAATGCGAAAGAAAATGCAAAGGGATGCAACATCTTTTCACAGCGCTAATGAATCGAGCCGATCCGAAAGGACTCGGTCGTCGACGATTCAAGCCGCTCTGCGCTGGATGCGGTCCAGTGGAAGGAGTTGGTACTGGGGAGCCCCAGCCTAGAGATGGGAACAGTATTCCATGTGAGGCCGAACCTGCGCTTTTTAAAGTTGCAGGCGTTGTGTCGGCATGAAATACTGTCCCGCTCTGCTGAGCACGCCAAGCATTTTAGAGGCCAATTTGGCCTTCTCTTCCAAATTACCAACTGCACGTCACTCGATATGTCGACGCTGAGGATTCCGATACTGGCTGTGGCAACAAGGGGAATGCCTTGAAACTGAGGAGATACGACAAAGGGGTTCTTTTTAGCGGTAAACACGCAAACTTGTGCCTTCTGAGGATTAAACTGGACTAGATTTAGTCTGATTTAGTCTGAGACTTTGTTCAACAAAGTCTCGACTTCAGACACAAGTTTGTTCCGGTACTCGGCGACGTTTTCCCGAGAAATACAGGCACGGCCGGTGTATAGAGTATCACCAGTGCTGTCATCCGCATAGCAATGAATGTTACCGGTTTGCAACATATCATTAATATGCAGAAGAAACAGCGTTAGTGATAGCACGCAGCCTTATGGAACACCAGCGTTAATAGGTTTATAGTCGAAGCATGCACCGTCTACAACGACCTTGATGCTCCGGTCTGCAAGAAAGCTGGTGATCCAATTGCACAATTTCTCGGGAAGCCCATAGGAAGGGAGCTTCGAAAGAAGCACTTTGTGCCAAACCCGATCGAAGGCCTTCGCAATGTCCAAACTAACGGCCAACGCCTCCCCCTTAGACTCTACTGCCTCCGCCCATCTATGGGTCAGGTAGACCAGAGGATCACCAGCTGATCGACGCCGACGAAAACCGTATTGGCGGTCACTAATCAGCTCGTGATTCTCAAGGTACCGCATGAGCTGGCAGTTTATTATGGATTCCATTATTTTGGAGAACAAGGAGGTGATGACGATATGCCTGTAGTTGAACGGGTCTAAGCGGTCTTCTTTTTTAGGGATCGGGTGGACAAAAGCTGTCTTCCATGACTTCGGGACTGCGCTTAGGGAAAGCAGTACCGGAAAAGACCCGTTAGAATCGTTGCCAACTCCGGAGAACACGTCCTCAGCACAATTGGGGGGATTCCGTCAGGCCCACTTGGCTTGTGGATGTCCAGGGAGAGCAGTGCTTTGCGAACCGAGCGCTGTGAGAACCGCACATCCGGCATGGAGCACTCACACCGCGGGATGATCGGCGGTGTGTTCCCCCCGTCATCAAGAGTCGAGTTGGACGCAAAAAGAGAGCCTAAAAGGTCGGCTTTCTCTTTTGCGACGTGGGCCAGTGAGTCGTCCTCCCTGTGCAGAGATGGTAGTGACCAGTTGTGTCAGACCATATGCCAAGGCAAAGTCATAAACAGGTCTCCCCGCATGGTCGACGTTGTCTACGCGTAGCCAAAGGATGGAGGGGTCGGGGAGCCGTCTCGAGATGGTAGTGGACGGCGTTTAGGTTCGAGTGAAGTCCCCTGATGTTGCAGAAATTCACAGATAGCGTGGCAGGGGTCGCCTTGGTATTGTTGCTCAGTTTACCCCGAGCAGTTATTGTTTTGAGCAGAATTTTGCCCCCCCCCCCCCCCCCCACCACGCTCAGGAGTGGAGTAGCATGGTCCTGGATGCTCAGCGAGTGTGATGGTACCCTCCAGGGGTTGTCTTTGATTTAATTCCGCTACTATGTTAATGGGGGGGGGGGGGGAATTGGGCCTCCGACTACCTGCACTCACCAAACGAAACGTAGAAGCAGAGCTTCCACTTCACCCCTGTATTCTGTAAGGTCGTGGTACCAACCCGGCTCGAGCTGGTCCATATTACATTTAACAGCAAAAGCTGCCACGTGGCTCTACCTCCATTAAACCGTCGTGCAGCATTCATCACGTAAGGCATATCATTCCGCATTACCTTCTAGTGCCCACTTAACTCGAAATAATTTTTCATCCGCGTCATACTAGACAAGGCGTTTATTAGTATCTGCAGTCTCAATGCACTCGTAGTGGTAATACTATTCATTCTCCTCATTACCAACCCTTTGCATTTTTTTTTATTAAAAGAGGATATTTAATACCCTGTTAATCGTTCTCTTGACTTTAAATGCTTGTTTAAGGGTGTGGTATTTTCTATACAGTAGTCCAATCGCAGATTTGAACCCACTTCTTTTTTTAGTTTTGCAGTCCGCACCCTACTGTGTGGTTCAGGATTTTCGAATAGATATATACCGTTACTTGTTCGTAGGGGCTCATTTATTATTAACTGTGTGTATCATGTGCAGCTGAAGTTGGTTTTTGAAGGATGGATGGATGCAGGATGCAACGTATAAGAAGTGTTTGGTATTATGACTAATTTATCACCCAAGAGTAGAAATAACTCTTGGAAAGCAGTGTTCATGCAGGATGAGGATGTAACGTCAACTGTTTTTATCCTTACTACATTGAGTGACTCCAAGCATCAACAGGCGCTACAGCTTTTTAATAATTGAAAGATATAAAGGGCGCAAAAGATAAAGAGCAATAAGAGTACGCCCAACCCGATTAAACAATTATGTTATAATATCGGAGGTTCAAGAGATACGAAGACGATCACAGCACGACCAAACTCATTCATTCATTCATCTATTCATTCATTACAGCCCTTCACAAGTCCACTGATGAACATAGGCCTACCCAAAGGGTTACCACAAAGCACGGTCCTGAGCCGCCTGCATCCATCAACTTCCTGCATATATTACCAGGTCGTTATTCCATCTACGGATAGGGGGGCACCCTACACTTCGCCTACCGGTACGAAAACAGAAAACACTCGAAACACTCGAAAACCCATAATTCCTGTTTCTTATCTGATTTCTGATCTGCGTAGGTATGATAAAAGGTCTCTATAATACGTAAATGCAGATCTTCGGCATCGGAACTGCCAGAGTGCGTGATTCGTCGCGTGCAGGTACGGCGGCGCGACCCATGACAGCACTCCGAGCTGCCGGGTACACGTCCGCGAACCGAGACACACCGCTGAAGGATGAGCGCAGGGAAGACAGGTGGCTAATAAGTTAAGCATGCTTAATATGTAACATATGTAACTAATGCAGGTGTCGCTATTTAATTCGTTTACATTTCTTACACATTTTTTTAAAAATAAATAAACAAAATATTCTAGCGTTGAAGACAAAATTAAGCAAATGGAGTTGCGAATAATGGCATTAGTTGAGGAATCCTGTATGTTGAGTTCCACACAAGAATCTGAGGAAGATATACCAACTAAGAGAGAGTTCGACTTGGGTCAAGTAAGAATAAAATAAACTTAATCACCTAGCTATTGTTTGAATCACTACATTAGTACATATTTCATGCTATTTCTAGTACTAGTATTTATTCTGTGATGCTATATGAAAACCATTATTGAAATCTATTGCAATTTATAATATATTAATTCTTACATTAATAAATATCAGGTAGTTGCTTAAGCCTAGCCCCATAGATCTTGAAAACTGCGTTGGAAGCACAGCATCTGTCTCTTGACGTTCTAACCGACTTTTGATTAATTAGCCTTTCGTCTGATCGTTTAACGCCATACTTCAATTTAACTTACTGTTTGAGATTTTTTTTAATTAATTTTTCTTCACCATTCGCCTATATTACTTATTCTGAACCTGCCCTCCAAGTCTGGGCGCAATACAAAATAACCGTAAATGGATAACATTTTGTAAATTTATTGTATGTCTGTCTGTCTGAGTTAATCTTCAGAATCGCTGAACCGATTGTAATCTATCTTGACAAACAGACAGAGAGCAATGCAGGGAGTGATCTGATTTTTTTTGAGCAATCGAAAAATTTATAGAATAAATGGTCTGTGATGATGATCTTCAATCCCACCCTCATTAATCTAAATAATGCCACATCACTAGATCCTACCCAGGTACCGCCGGGATGTGTCGTTAGTCTTCAATATATATGTATGTTCTCTTGTCGACTCTGCTGCTTACAATTCTAGTCACAACATGTTCTTGCAAACCACACTACTCTTATCCAACAATTTCTCATCCTATCATTCGATGTCACCCCTAACATACTGCTGCAGTAGGTATTAATTTTACTCTCTTGCTTCTTCTGCCACACCAAATTTTCACTATCATACATTAAGGTAGGAATTGAGATCCTGACTTCCTATAATATACTGAAGAGTTCCATTCATAGTTGTAAGGAAAATTAATAGTTTTATCTCCGCTGCTTTGACCTGGACATGACATCGTCAGATCAACAGCCCTTCCAAGTATCACAGCTGGAAATAGAACTTTCTAATAATGCGCCCGCTGATATTCAAATCTTGAAGCGTTTGCCCATACTACGCTGATTGGTAAGTACATAACTAAGATCTATGTACCGGAAATGCTGCTCCCTATAACTAGTATTTAGATGGAAACCTCATCAGTCATGACCTTGTCCGTTAATCAGACTATACCGGATGGTGATGTTAGCTTTTGGAGAGAAATTGATAGATTATTTGTCACATTAAATTACCACCGCCACTATTGGTTGCATAGGAATTGCATGACTTATTAGTTTCCTCTCTCCCCTTTCATCTAGCGATTGACAACTACTCGGCAAGTCTCCATCCCTAAAATGTTTGCTTCATCATTCGTAATGCGGTCAGCAAAGAGGTCTTTCCATCCGATTTCCATTCCGATTTGATTACAATGTGTGTATCTTAAATGGCAAAAGTGAATAAACTAAATTTTCTTCACTATGTAAGGCTTGATCAGCATTATTAACCATAGATGAGATTTGATTCCAGTTTTAGCTAATAGTTAATAATAATAAATAATATAGTTAAAATATCCACTCATTCTGAAATTATTATTATTTTTAGGCTCTGGCAAAAGCGCAAGAGGCATCAACTTTGGAACGTCAGTTAATCCGCATGCAAGAGCAGGCTAACTTGGGGGATTCCCATAACTTAGACCTTACATTTGCAGTAAGTTGTTGATTATTAATGATATTAGAGAGTGAGAGAGAGAGCGATCATGTGAATTTTAACGTATTGTGCACAATGGTGATTTATTAAGTCTAATTTCATTGCAATAACTTAAAGCGTATATTTATATAAGCAGCTATAAATTTAACTCGATTTGTAAAAAAAATATAAAAGAGAAATATGTCCGTTTCCTTGCATTTTAAACATCTGTGAACCATAATATTAAAGCATGTATCCAATCTTATATTATTTGTATTTCCGAACGTGCAGTGATAATATTAAATTTGTATTTATACACTAAATTATAAAACCAGTAGGTAGCATAAGAGACCATAATTATATTATGATGTTCTCTGACCTTTTGGTCTAGAAACATTACTCTGCAAAAAGTTCAGACTAAATTTAGTTGTAGTTCAGTTGCAAAAAGTTCTAATCTCTTGATATCTGGTACTGCGGCGATAAAAGCAAGTCCTCGTTACAACTTGAAAGGCACATACCTCGCGACTTTTACGGACTGATGAAGAATAAGACGAAGCAGAATTTTCGACCCCTTTGCCTATTAATGGTGGAACTTCACAGAATAATTATATGGTCTGCCAGGTTTCTTGAAATTTTAATATTGTTACATGTTATGCAAATGTTATTGTAAAAATATCGAATAAGATGAAAAATGGATGTATACTTCCACACACACTGCAAGTATACAATTACGTCGTCCAAAATCGCTGAGCTTTTCTCGATTGCACGTAGTCGATTACCGAAGTAGAGTTTACTTTCGAGTTTCCAAAGTAATTAATTCTCCGATCGCCAGCGCACGATCTTAAATTCAATGCGAGGAATGTAGAACATTCTAGGTCCTTCCGGGTCATTCCATAATATGTCCAAAGAAAGAAAAGGCCTTATTAACGTTATGTCTACGATCTAAAGTTGCGTCTTGCTTGAATCAGTAGTTTGAGCGTTGTGTCTATTTATATTCCTAAACAAGTTATTAACTTGATAGAGCCCATTTCGTAGTAAGATATCTTCAGGAACGTACTCGTGCAACGTGATGCAACACACCTCAGGGTTGGTTAACAACCCAAGAAACTAGAGTATAACTAGAGACTAGGCACTTAAATACATTGGGCTGCGGCTTCATCGGACATCGCTTTTCAGGGACCAAACCCCATGAAAAATAATCTTAGTTACGCGAATGCGTAAAGCAAAGATTTGCATTAACTCTGATGTTGATACCACGTTATGTACATACATACGTTCGTTTGTTACATTTTAAAACTTAAATAACATTTTTAAAGCTTTAATCTACACGTAAATAAACCGTGTAGTGGCGGTGTAAGAATATCCACTACCCCATATCGTCGCGTGGGTGTCGTAAGAGGCGACAAAGGGAAACTAAAACAGGAGATGGGCAGCAGCATCTTCTCTGATAACAACTCAATATAATAAGAAACTGCGATTGCCAACTCGTCTGCCGAGCGTGGCAAATATGGCAAAATCCTATATAGCAGGGGCCTTATGTAGGCGGTAATGGTAATGGCTACATGTTAATATTTGTCTTAAAATTTTAAATTTAATGTTAGCAGTTTATTATTAATAGTGTATTATAAATATTTTGTATTATTAATAAGGTGTTGTGTAACTTGGCTGGCCAATATACGCTGAATGAAATGTATACTGAGGCGCTGAATACATATCAACTACTGACGAGGAACAAAGTATTTCCTCACGCCAATCGGCTCAAGGTACGATGGGTGTTCCGTAATTTAACTCAACATTTATAAATAAATATATAATAAATTTCTTAATTCAACTGTTTATAATTTTCATCAGGTTAACATGGGCAACATTTATTTTAAAATGGGCGAACATCCAAAAGCGTTAAAATTGTATAGAATGGCATTAGATCAAACGCCGACTGCTGAAAAAGATTTAAGGCAAGTGTTTATTATTATTAACCATGGTCGGCATAAATCAGACCCTAAGTAGAAAAAAAAACAAGTGTATTATTATATTATCTCGAGTTACGGGACAGAATTCAAAAAAGGGAATACAGCAGAGTGGTTCCATAGAAGCGATAAAATGCATCGTTTGGGATTTAATAAAAGGGTAGTGACAAGCGTAAGGGAACAGTGACAGAAAAATGAAGATTACATAATAATACGTAAACACTCACGCCTGTCACCCAGAGGGGTAGGCAGAGACTATGGACTTCCATTTGGCACGATCCTGACACACCTCTCTCGCTTCCTCCACATCCATATACATACGCATATACACTCGTCGGTTAAAGGTACTCTTGATTTGGCCCAGTTTTAATATATCGCCAATTTGGTCGATAAACTTTCGCCTACGGCGTCCCTTCGCGACTCTGCCGTTCACCTCTGCAACATAAATTTACTTTGTCACTCTTTCCTCAATCATTCTTTCTACATGCCCAAACCACCGAAGCATTCTTTTCTTAATCCTGGTCACAACATAATCTTGCAAACCACACTCATCTCTTATCACACATTTTCTCACTCTGTCATTCAGATTCATCCCTAACATACTCCTTAATGACCGCAAAAATGAAGATTAATGTCATCTAAATTTAATGTAGGACCTAAGTCTACTAAAGAAGGCTTAGTACATTGAGTTATATGTACTACGTACTAGAGAAGCCATTCCGAACATTGACTATGTTCAACTGAACTGTAGTGCAATCCATACAAACTAAATATTGCGTAAATTGAACATTTGTGAATTCCATAAAATAATTATTATTACATTTTATTTAGAAATATATTTGTTTAGATTAAATTAAGATATTTTATATTAATATCTTATATTTATTCTATGTTAATATCTTATTTTATATTAAATTAAAGTCGTCGAGCATGCGCGACTACTACTCCCGCGCATGCGCGAAGACATAGAGTAGGACAATTTTTGTTTGGAATAGCTTCTCTAGTACGTAGTACATATAACTCAATGGCTTAGTAATACTTGTTCTATTATTTACGAGGGCGGCACTGAAAATTTCGGGAATCAAGGAAGTGACACAACATTACTATTTAAAAATGTATTTATTGCTTTTCGAAGTATTCTCCGCAAAATTTGACACATTTTTCCATACGATGGAACCAATCATTGAAGCAACCATTCCATTCGGAAGTTGAGGTCTCCAAAATGGCCGTTTTGTAGGCGTCCACAGCCTTTTCAGGTGATGAAAATCTCTGTCCACGCAATTTATTCTTTATTTTAGGGAAAGTATAGAAATCATTAGAGCTTAGGTCGGGGCTGTACGGCGGATGGTCTAATAATTCTATGTTTTCTTGCTCTAAAAACTCTTTTGTTCTGTGTGCGGTGTGAGAACTCGCATTGTCGTGATGGAGGATGATGCGGCGCTTGCAGTTCTCTTTACGGAGTTCAGAAACGACCTGTGGCAAATAAATGCTAGTATACCATTCTGCATTAACCGTTCTTTGTCCATCAAGAGGAATAGTCGTAACATGGCCGGTTTTGAAGACAAACGTGGCCACCATTTTTTTTGCAACACTCCGTGAACGAACAATTTTCGTTGGCTTTAACTCATTTTCGAACACCCAAACTCGTGACTGGTTTTTTGTTTCGGGTTCGTACGCGTATGTCCAGAATTCGTCACCTAATACGATGTTGTATACAGCATTTGAGGATCCTGCGTGGAATCTTTCGAGAGTTCTGACGCACCAAGTAACGCGAGCCGCTATTTGCTCTTCACAGAGCGAATGCGGTATCCATCGGGAAAACAACTTTTTTACAACTAATTGTTCATGCAAGATTATTTGTATTTGACTCATGCCAATGTCTAAAGTTGCCTGAATTTCGCGGTATGTCACATGTCAATCTTCCTCAATCAGCTTACGCACAGCATCAATGTTTTCTTGGGTGACTGCAGTTTTTGGACGACCTTGACGGGGATCATCACTGAGCTTGACACGTCCACGTTGAAATTCAGTAAATCAGCCATAAATTGTGGTTTTGGATGGGGCTTCATCACCAAATGCAGAAATCATCCCGTCAACACACTGTTTTTGTGTTAAACCACTTCGAAAGTCATAATAAATCATCGCTCTTGAATTTTCTCGAGTCAATTCCATTTTCTCAACGACTAAACAAGTTTGACAAAACCTTGTGACAAGACCGAGAATCTTTTTTGAAATTTTTCACAATTTTTTTACAGGTTTTCTCAAGATGTTTTCCTCCACCACCGAGTACGTGCTAAATCTGCACTTAAAATTGTAAGGAACAATTGGTGCTGGTGTAGATCGAATGCAACTGCTCGCGTTATGTGAAATCTACAAAGGGCGCTTAACCCCTGAGCTACGTCGGTTCTATTCATTAGTGCTGCAGCAATAACAAGCTTAGCTCTAACACAAAAGAAACCATCTAATCCGGTTTTCAAACAGATGGAACGTATTAATATAGGTACAAAATATATAAAGACCGTTTTTGAAAATGGCCACAGTTTCCATAAAATAGTGTAAAACTAAATGCATATATTCATAGAGAATATTATCATGGATCATATAAACATCGAATGAAACTTATAGTAAAAACATCTGCGGTTGTTAACCCGCCCAAGTTAACATCATAACTATTTTAAAATCGTTAAAATAGTAATGCAATATTTTAACTGATTTTGCTGCGCATTCGTAAGGGTCGTTTGGTAGGCAATAACGTTGTTGCCCATAAATCACATTCTTTTTGGGATAATTTTAAATAACAGTAGATGCCTTATTTACTCGTATTTTCAAAAACTGTTCGGTATATCATATCATTATTAATATATTTGAACTTAAGATTAAAATTTGCCTACTCTTTAAAAATAACCCTGTATATTATTTGACGGTAGTTACATTTATTTTTTATATAAATACAGAATAAACAAGACAAAACATGAGTCTCAAAATCCATCCTTGTGTTAACACCAGATGTATCTGGGTTTGTCCAACTTGTTCTACTAAAAAGAATATAATTAGTTCTACAATAAAACAAAATGGGATTATTCTCAATTAGTTCTACTGATTAGTATCATAAATAGGATTTCAATATTATAATTATCTAATGCATGAAGGCCATCGTTAGTTAATATTTTCGTTATTTGATAAAACTAACATTTTGCCCTGGTATTATAGTTTTTTTTATAGGATCGAGTGACAAACGAGCTCACAGTCCACCTGATGGTAAGTGGATGCTGTGGCCCATGGACATCTACATTTATCTTCGTTTGCGAATCCAAACGCAGATGCGTTGTCACTCGTGAGGACTAAGATGGAATGCCCCTTTTCTAGTAGTTCTCTCCGGTTCTCTACATACGAAACACAGCAGTGTTAAACTGCTATTTGACGCTGGTATTCTGTGAGAGCGTGGTCCTTCTCCGGTCGAGCCGACCCATTCGTGCTACAACTATACTACTAATATAGCTGCAGCGTGGCTCTACCACGCTAAGCTAAGCTAAAAAAAAAGCTAAGTTAAATTTTCTAACTATTATCATAATTACAGGATGAAGGTAATGCACAATATAGGACTACTCTTGGTCCGAATGGGTAAATTTCGTGATGCCGTCACGAACTTTCAACATATAATGCACGAACAGGGTGATTTTCAAACAGGTATAAATTATTTATTATTAGTTTACAATAATACAAAAGCAGGGAACTACGCGCATTATTAATATAAATTGGGCATATTATAACAACATTTTATTTATTGCTTAAGAGTTGGATTGAAGATTTTCTTTTAGTTATAATCAGGCCAACGAATGAGATAAGTAAATATATTTACGCAATTTTGTTTCCCCATTTACCATCAGTAGGAATCGTAGTCAAACACTATCATATAGTTTATAACAAAAGGTTGACTTCATGGTTGACAATAGATAGATTTTTCAAAAATGTAATTCTGGAAAGAGTAGTTTATCTACGATAATGCAATTAATATTCACGTTTGTAGACATTTTGATTTTGATTATTAATAAGAAATCTTCACCTAAATATGTCTAAGCAAACCTTGGAACTTTGTTTCTCGTTTTTACATTCCTTATCTCGTGCCGCTGGCCTTAGTCCATGAAGAAAACGGCAGATCATATTAAGCTTGTTTTCTCATCACCGTCAAAAACACTTTTATAAACATATTAAATAAATTCATAGAATGATCTTATTACCTAGACAGAGCCGTTTTCAATAGACCTAACTTACTACAGTGTCGGCGAGAGTGACGACTCTAAAACTACTAAACCAAGCAATTGTACGAGGGCGGCACTGAAAATTTCGGGAATCAAGGAAGTGACACAACATTACTATTTAAAAATGTATTTATTGCTTTTCGAAGTATTATCCGCGAAATTTGACACATTTTTCCATACGATGGAACCAATCATTGAAGCAACCATTCCATTCGGAAGTTGGGGTCTCCAAAATGGCCGTTTTGTAGGCGTCCACAGCTTCTTCAGGTGATGAAAATCTCTGTCCACGTAATTTATTCTTTATTTTAGGGAAAGTATAAAAATCATTAGGGCTTAGTCGGGGCTGCACGGTGGATGGTCTAATAATTCTATGTTTTCTTGCTCTAAAAACTCTTTTGTTCTGTGTGCGGTGTGAGAACTCGCATTGTCGTGATGGAGGATGATGCGGCGGTTGCAGTTCTCTTTACGGAGTTCAGAAACGACCTGTGGCAAACAAATGCTAGCATACCATTCTGCATTAACCGTTCTTTGTCCCTCAAGAGGAATAGTCGTAACATGGCCGGTTTTGGAGACAAACGTGGCCACCATTTTTTATGCAACACTCCGTGAACGAACAATTTTTGTTGGCTTTAACTCATTTTCGAACACCCAAATTCGTGACTGGTTTTTTGTTTCGGGTTCGTACGCGTATATCCAGGATTCGTCACCTGATACGATGTTGTATACAGCATTTGAGGATTCTGCGTGGAATCTTTCGAGTGTTCTGACGCACCAAGTAACGCGAGTCGCTTTTTGCTCTTCACAGAGCGAATGCGGTATCCATCGGGAAAACAACTTTTTTACACCTCATTGTTCATGCAAGATTATTTGTATTTGACTCATGCCAATGTCTAAAGTTGCCTGAATTTCGCGGTATGTCACATGTCGATCTTCCTCAATCAGCTTACGCACAATCAACGTTTTCTTGGGTGACTGCAGTTTTTGGACGACCTTGACGGGGTATTATCACTGAGCTTGACACGTCCACGTTGAAATTCAGCAAACCAGATTTTCTTCATCACCAAATGCAGCAATCATCCGGTCAATACACTGTTTTTGTGTTAAACTACTTCGAAAGTCATTATAAATCATCGCACTTAAATTTTCTCGAGTCAATTCCATTTTCTCAACGACTAAACAAGTTTGACAAAACCTTGTGACCAGACCGAGAATCTTTTTTTAAATAAATAAATGGTATTCGATTTTTAAAACCAAGGACTTTTCAATTAAAAATATTTTAATATGACAGGAACAGTGGAAATATTCCATTCCCGATACTTTTAGTGCAGGCTATGTATTCGCGCCTTCTGTAATTTGCTTGCATATTTGTGTGTCGGTACAAATGCTTCACTGGCTAGTATTTTAGGCAGTTGATAAGAGCTGGCTCTCGTCCACGGTTTCATAGTACAAGAGATGGCTATTTTATCCTTAGAATATGGTCTGACACACCTGATTTAAAATAGAATAGAATAATTTTTTATTCAATATAGATCACATGTGTAATTCGTATTGAAAGTGACTCGCGACTTTTTTTAAAGTAAATTTTACATGTACAAACTACTTATATTTACAAAATTTATTTTGGAAACAGCTTGGAAGCGATCACTTCATTCCCAGGGGTTGTTATCAACTATATACTAATTACATAATTTATATTATAATAATCTTTTTATACAGTTTTTGTTTAATAAAATATTCAAACTTGGTAATGGAGAGACCTTGTATATTTTGGGACTTTGTTCTAATGGCGTATACATTGCCCCAATAATGAATCACTGACTCTGTGGAGTCGAGAGACCGGTATCACTAGCTTGTGCATGTTTCTAGTATTTACAAAATGTATATCACTTTTTTTTACTAAAACTACCTTTGTTTTTGTGAACATACATTAAATTTTCGTAAATACACTGAGAGGGCAAAGTTAATATATTTATTTCTTTAAAATTTTCTCTAAGAGACTTAGTTTTAGGTTGCAAATAGCTCTAATGGCTCTCTTCTGAAAAACAATAATAGTTTCTAAATCAGGCGCATTTCCCCATAGCAAAATCCCATAAGACATTATGCTATGGAAATAACTGAAATAAACTAATCTAGCTGTCTCGGCACTAGTGATACCTCTAACCTTTTTTACAGCATAAGCTAGACTGCATGATATGTAAGACTAAGAAATTAGTCTGTTTGCTAGTTTGGATATATGGGGACCCCGTCTGACTGACTACTGATGCTTTCCGTCGAGAGTGATGCCTAAAAAAACAGTGGATTCAACAGGGCTCAGTTCTCCCCCATTTAAAACACATTGGTATTCAGATTTTTAACATCTGATGTTGTAAATTTAATATATTTAGTTTTATTTCCGTTTAAATGTAGATTATTAACGTTAAACCATTAGTAATTTTAATATAGTATTATTCACTTTGTCACATTTCAATAATTGACGTTTAAGTTTAAAGATCAAGGAAGTATCATCAGCAAATAATACTATATCATGATTATCCTCTTCAAGGGAAGGTAAGTCATTAATATACACTAGAAATATGAATGGGCCGAGAAATGAGCCTTGAGGGACTCCTATTAGTATAGGTGACCCAGAAGAACATTTACCATTGATAATAAGGTTCTGCGATCTATTACTTAAATATGAAATAATATATTTAAGCGCTGACATACAGTCCATTGACATAGTGTATCTTTTCAAGTGCTGAGTAGCCAAGAACGACCGTGCAAGAAAATATTATAAGCAATTTTACATGAATCGAAATTTAAAAATATTTCAAAGGCATTTATGGAGGTCGCAAATTTGCACTAACTGACTAAACTTTTCTTATAAGGCTGAACCTCTTTTTTGATGAAATTTTGTTTGTGTGATTGAGTTAATTCGAGAGCCGTTTAGATACACAATTGGACCCGTAGGTAGCACTGTTGTCGAGATCCAGTAATCAACCGTGCGAAGCCGGGCGGCCGGACCGCTAGTATTTTTATATGGCGTGAGGCTCAGAAAATACACTGAGTCAACATTACTATGGCTCATGGTGATTTTGGCTTACCTGAAAAACAATAAAACGACTAACATTTACTTTTCGAGATACGTAACATTGGCCAGCCATTTTTAATTATTATCTTCTTATCGTCCATTTTAGAACACAAAGATTAACCAAAATAAACTTAGTCAAAATCAATAAGAAATTGTTTAAAATATAATTGACGATAACAAAGATTGTTACGATTCGCGCCAAACCGCGATTTTTTATGAACAGGGGTTTAATATAGAAAATATATCATTTTAATTTATACACTAAAATTTAATAGTGTAAGCCGTTTTGCTTGTTATTATATTGTATTTTTTGATTTAAGGATTACATCTGGTGTTATGTTCTGTTGCTTTGAACGATCCAGAAGCGGGTAAGGCCGCGTTTCACTCAATGTTAGACGTGGAGCCACCTACTTATCATCAGGACCTTCCTATTGACGATGTAAGTATCGAACTGTACAGTGTTTCCAAATTGTTTCAAAATATGTCTTAGCGTTTTAATTCTACGCGCTATTAAGATAATTTCATATGACATATTCCGCTTTACATCCTAGAGAATTCCTCACATATTCCCAATATTATCATTATCATCAATATTGCAGCCCTTCAGAAGTTCACTGCTGACTATAGGCATCCGCAAAGGTCACACACGGTCTTTCGCGACTCGTATCCATTGACGGATTATGATTACAAGTCCAGCAGATTAGTACCTAAGCTGAAGTAGCAATGGGCCTGTCATATAGCTCAAGGAACCGACAACGATGGGGAAGAAAGGTTCCAGCGTGGCAGTCTCGTAACGGTAAGCGAAGTGTATGGCAGACCCCACTAGATGGAGTGACGACCTGGTAAGTCATGCATGGATTTGATTGATACCTTATCATCATCATCATCATCATCATTACAGCCTTTCATAAGTCCACTGCTGAACATAGGCCTCCCCCAAGGAATGCCACAAAGCACGGTACTGAGCCACCTGCATCCAATGCAGTGGTGAAGAGTTCGGGGATATAACATCACCCAGTCTTACACCTCTCTACAATTGCATAGGTTTCGTACTCTGGTTCTGTACTCGGATAGACATCGTAGCTCTACTGTACAAACACTTCAGCACTTCGATATACCGACAGTCATCTTGACACCGCTGAAGGGACTGCAGCACCGCACAAATTTCGACGAAATCAAAGGCTTTCTCATAGTCCACATACGCCAGACATAGTCGCAAATTGTATTCCTCGGACTTCTGTACAATTTGCCGAAGGGTATGTATGTGGTCTATGGTGCTAAAGCCCTTTCGGAAACCGGCTTGTTCGGGAGGCTGGAAGTCGTCAAGTCTGCGCGCGAGGCGATTCGTAATGACTCTCGAAAACAGCACGTAGACGCGGCTCAGAAGGGAAATCGGTCTGTAGTTCTTCAAGAGAGCGTTGTCACCCTTCTTGAAGAATAAGACCACCGCACTTCTGCTCCACGCTTCCGGTGTAATGCCACCATGGAGGACGGAATTAAAGAGCTTCTGAAGGACTTCAAGTACCGGTCTTCCTCCCGCTTTCAGAAGCTCCGTTGTAATTCCATCTTCGCCTGGGGCATTGCCGTTTTTAAGGTGCTGGAGAGCCATTCTAATCTCGCTCAGACTGACGTCCGGGATATATTCGGAATAGTGTCGGATAAGACTCGCTCTTCGATCTCACACTTGCGTGTGGCTTTAACGATGACGTGTACAGCTGCCCATAGAACCTCTCAATCTCACTCAAAATCTCAGGTGACCCGAAAACGATGCTGCCACACTCGGTCTTCAGCTTTGAAAGGTGGTTCTTTCTGGCAGACAGATCTCTGGCAAAGACTTAGGAGCCTAGGTTCCGCTCGATCGCTTCTTCAATACAAGCTGTATTGAAGTTGCGTTAGTCCCGTTGCATGCATTTGGAGATCTGTCTGTTCAGTTGCCTGTATGCTCTCAAATCTGTTGAACAATGTAGCTTCATCTCCCGTCTAACAGCCGTGAGATTGAGAGTGTGATCGGAGAGTTTTTGTGTTCTTCTGCGGCGGGTCTTGCAGAACTTAGCTCCGACCGCATGGACAGTTTCCACGAGCTTGTCATTCATATCGTCCACTTCATTGCAGTCTTCTAGCTAATGAAAACGGTTTTGTAACTCGAGCTGAAAGGTTTCGGGACTTTGGAACAGAGCACGAGGGGGACGGAGCGTTGACTTCATTAGACGAGACCTCTCCAACTTAACGTTTAGGTTCAGTGTGCCTCTAACCATTCGGTGATCGCTACCAGTTTTCACGGAGACATCACTGAACAGTTGTCGTCTGGTCGTCATAATGAAGTCAATCACATTTTTTGTAGAACCGTCGGAGCTCGACCAAGTCCACTTCCTGTGGTGCCGGTTCTGGAAGAAAGAGTTCATCATAAAGAGTCCCTCTTTCTCCATGAAGTCGGCCAGCTGCTGGCCCCTTGGGTTCCGTTGTCCTATTCCAAATTTCCCTACTTTCAGCTCACCGTTCTCTCTTTGTCTAGTTTTGCATTGAAGTCTCCCATTAACACCGTATATTGGGTTTTGGAGGAATGCATGGCTCTAGAGATATCCTCATACATTACCTCCACCTCCTCATCGGGGTGTGCCGAGGTTGGTGCGTAAACCTGTAAGACCATCAGCGAATAAATACCGTTTGGTGATTCTGAGTATAAGGTACGCAACCCTCGTCGACACACTATCAATCTTTACAACGTTGTTAACGAGAGACTTGTGGACGATAAATCCGACACCTCCTTGGGACAGATGGTCGCCCTCCCGGTGATAGAGCAAGTTGCCGGATTCGAGGATTACCGTGTCCTCCCCCTTTTTTCGGATTTCGGATAATCCTATAATATGCCAGGGTAACTTGTCTATCTCTTCTTTCAGCTCCACGATCTTCTCGTCAGTCCCCAGGGTGCGTGCGTTGTATGTTGCCAGGTCGAGTCGTCCTAGCTGGCAACCGAACCTCCACCGGAGATTCTTAGTATCCCCTGCCCCGCCGTTACCATGGTCGCCACCGTAGCCAGGAATAGCGGGGCTGCCCGGGACTGGGGGCCATTTCCTTGTTACTCTCGTTCATAGGGGGGTATTTGCCATAGTTGCCACGCTTGGCGAGCGGGTTGACAACCGCAGTTTTTTTATTGTAAGTTTTTTGTTATCAGGAAGATGCTGCTGCCCATCTCCTGCCTGTTTCCCTTTGTCGCCTTTTACGACACCCACGGGAAGATATGGGGTAGTGGATATTCTTAACCGCCACTATATGGCACACGATACGACATGATACCTTATACTTATAGAGACAATGAAAACATTTCTCCTGAATTCCTACGACTATGCGAACTACCAGGGCTACTAGCGTTTTCGCAATCTACCACTTTGAATTGAAGTGGATTTAACAGGTTCTATCTCATTGTGGGAACACATCCATGTAATGACATAACGGCTGTTCCGTCTCAAGTCAAAAAATATTTTCGATATCAGCTCAGTTTTTGTTTTGAAGAAGCTTCGCAATATGTGTATAGTTTGTTCGCTAAGATAGTGTCGGTAATTTTTTTTTACTGTTTTTGTTAAATAAATGTATTTCTATTCTAAGAATAGAGTAGAATACTATTTTATTCATGGTTATTGTAATTAAATACGAATATAAATAATAAAAATAAGTTAGGTAGCAAAGAACATTTTTCTACGGCGCTATGTTTTAAAATGTCAAATTCTCCTTCGGGTGTATGCCGTCCGCCGCGACCTTTGATGTCGCGGCGATGCCTTTGACAAAATGCAGCATGTGCCAAGGCGGCACGACACAAAGGCGACCGTATTTAAGTGAACAACAGACTATCAGGATATTGTGAAAAATATAATAAGCTAGCGATCCGCCTCGGCTTCGCATGGATGATTTCTGGATCTCGACAACAGCTCCACCTACCGGGTCTAATTGTGAATTTAAACCATCCAGAGATCCACACAAAAATTACATCAGATTCGGTCGAGCCAGTTTTTTACAGCAATTGATTTTTAGAGATAATGTAGGTATTTACATATAAATGCGAACAGCAAAGGATTGGAATAACTTGCCAGCATTTGTCTTTCCATTCGCTTATGATATGGGTGTCTTTAAGGCAAGAGTGAATATGCTTTTGCTAAGCTAAATCAGTGTGTTTTACCATCTTCGGCTGTATCACCACTTACCATCAGGTTAGATAGTAGGTAAGCACTTGCTTATAATTGTAAAAAACTTGAACAATAACATGAATAAATAAGCGACCAAGGATAGTTTCCACCGTAATTCTTACAGGAAAATGACGCGTACGAGTGTGTGCTGCGCGACGTGTTACGCGGGGACCGACTGTCGCGGTGGTCGCGCCGGGCCGCGGCACACGCGGAGCGCTGCCTCGCGCTCGCCGTTGCCGCGCTCGCGCCCCTCGCCGGCCATAACACCAGGGATGAAGATATTAAGTAAGTGTCATTGGGTATGGTTTGCCTTACCTGTTTTTCGTATTAAAAAAGCTAGAGCCATCTGTTAGAACTAATTTTAACTACAATGTTATCGGCGTTATCGTTGTGGGCTGTCTAAAAGACGTAATACTGCGCTTTTGTTGTTGCTCGTGCAACCCTTCATGAGGCTTTAATACATTGCGCACTAGGTTACGATAAATTCTTCGTAACTTCGTTAGTCGACTGCGATCGGGCGAGAAAGCTACTTCTTTGTTTTGTAAACCGCGAACATTGTTTTCAAGAACAATCTACTAATAACTTTATTTAATGTGACTAAGAAAGCGATGTCATTATTTTTGTGCACACTTTGTTAACGTGATTTGAAGTTTATTTCAGAAAAAGTATGTTATTTTATTTCGTTTTTGCCTAAAAACAGTAACTGTCGTAAATGAAAATACAACTTCGTGGCATATTTACCATGCCAGCTACCCACCCAGCCGGCGCCCGCGTGATCTACATCTATAGGCGGCTCTTCAAGTTGGCGAACATAGTGGCGAATGTGTTGGCAAAGATATTAGCCAAGAATTTGTGATGGCGTCCACACGTTGGAAGGTCGTTCAGTTTGCTTCGGTTCAGGCCAATGTGCAGACGAATTTATTATAATGGATATTGAGGCGCTAACGGCTGCTGTAGTTTATTTATTCATAGCATACCGCTACTACGTAAATGTGTATAAGAAAAGGGTGATCAAAAAGAAATGCAAAAAAAGAAATTTTATTTCTTGTATGCCACAAATAATTTTCGACTTGGTAGAGCTCTATAAAGCGAAAAGTTTCTTCATTTGTCATTATTACTGCCATTTTGTACACACTAGTTACGATGCGTGAATATAAAATTTAAATTAGGTGCGTGCGATCACTCTGGGAGCTCGTATATACAATAATCTATGGCTTGTAGCAAATCAAACGTGCGCCCAACGTGTGGACGCGGCGGCCAATACTCTGTCACAACCCTTTGATCTTTTGTAAAAAACCGACACCACACGGATCTCGCGCTTACTTGTGGGCTATCATTCCAATACATACCAACGTAAGCACAAACACCCGCTCTACACGATGGCCATTGGTATTGGCCAACACATTCCCCACTGTGTTGGCAAACGTGAAGAGCCGCCATAAGACACAGTTTTTGTTCTGTATTGCCGGTCTAGTAGTATAAATAGATGTCTTTAAAAGAATATAAAAGTCAAGGTCGCGTTGCACAGCAGCGCGTCGTGGTGCGCAGAGGCGCTGCGCGGCTACTCGGGCGGCGGTGCAGGCGCACGGTTGGAGCTGGGTGCAGCACTTGCAGCGCTACGCACGGCCGCTGGCCCGGGCGGTGGCTCCGCGCTGGCAGTCGGCGCTCGCGCGCTGCAGCGCTTGAAAGCGGTTGCCCGCGCGTACCACGACGACCGTGTATTGCGGGCCGAGGCTGCCGCTGACGCTGCTTTTGTCGCTTACGCGGTAAGATCCTTTCTTTGTTTAAGGTTTAAGTTCTTGTACTATTATTTATTCTGTGGTTTAAGTCAAATTGATAGGATATATTTGTATTTCCTTAACCCTATACATTAATTTTATTGTTAGTTCGTGTTCGACCATTCGTTTGTACACAGATAAATAACATTTTCTATCAAGTATCACCCTCATTTCATAATCACTTTGCTCCTATACTTAGCGTTCTTTAATATTCGAGATATTAATTCGTGTTACCTTTCATATTTTTTGCATGATTATGTGGTTATTCATAGATGATATTGTATGTTGATGGATCGGATCAGATTTACCAGATACCACCTAATCTGAACTAAAACATTAACCTTTACCTAAATACAGAAATTATAGAGCTAAATTAAATCATAATATAATTAATAATACAGATGTATATATAATTATGGTTATAGCGCTATTATTACGAGGGCGGCACTGAAAATTTCGGGAATCAAGGAAGTGACACAATATTACTATTTAAAAGTGTATTTATTGCTTTTCGAAGTATTCTCCGCGAAATTTGACACATTTTTCCATACGATGGAACCAATCATTGAAGCAACCATTCCATTCGGAAGTTGGGGTCTCCAAAATGGCCGTTTTGTAGGCGTCCACAGCTTCTTCAGGTGATGAAAATCTCTGTCCACGCAATTTATTCTTTATTTTAGGGAAAGTATAGAAATCATTAGGGCTTAGGTCGGGGCTGTACGGCGGATGGTCTAATAATTCTATGTTTTCTTGCTCTAAAAACTCTTTTATTCTGTGTGCGGTGTGAGAACTCGCATTGTCGTGATGGAGGATGATGCGGCGGTTGCAGTTCTCTACGGAGTTCAGAAACGACCTGTGGCAAACAAATGTTAGCATACCATTCTGCATTAACCGTTCCTTGTCCCTCAAGAGGAATAGTCGTAACATGGCCGGCTTTGGAGACAAACGTGGCCACCATTTTTTTTGCAACACTCCGTGAACGGACAATTTTTGTTGGCTTTAACTCATTTTCGAACACCCAAACTCGTGACTGGTTTTATGTTTTTTTAGAATAGAATATTTTTTATTCAATATACATTACATGTGTAATTCTTATTGAAAGTCATTTTTTACTTTACCACTGGTTCGAAAAAAACCCTCTGTCCTGGGAAGAACCAGCAAGAAACCCAGTGGGACTTTTTTTTAAAATAAATTTTACAATATAAATGATTACGAACTATTTACAAAATTTATTTTAGAAACTGCTTGGAAGCGACCACCTCATTCCCAGGGGTTATTATCAATTTTCGGGTTTTTACGCGTTTCGGGTTCGTACGCGTATATCCAGGATTCGTCACCTGAAACGATGTTGTATACAGCGTTTGAGGATCCTGCGTGGAATCTTTCAAGAGTTTTGACGCACCAAGTAACGCGAGTCGCTTTTTGCTCTTCACAGAGCGAAAGCGGTATCCATCGGAAAAACAACTTTTTTACACCTAATTGTTCATGCAAGATTATTTGTATTTGACTCATGCCAATGTCTAAAGTTGCCTGAATTTCGCGGTATGTCACATGTCGATCTTCCTCAATCAGCTTACGGACAGCATCAACGTTTTCTTGGGTGACTGCAGTTTTTGGACGACCTTGACGGGGATCATCACTGAGCTTGACACGTCCACGTTGAAATTCAGCAAACCAGCGATAAATTGTGGTTTTGGTTGGGGCTTCATCACCAAATGCAGAAATCATCTTGTCAACACACTGTTTTTGTGTTAAACCTCTTCGTAAGTCATAATAAATCATCGCTCTTGAATTTTCTCGAGTCAATTCCATTTTCTCAACGAATCTTTTTTTAAATAAATAAATTGTATTCGATTTTTATAACCAAGGAGTTTTCAATTAAAAAGATTTTAATATGACAGGAACAGTGGAAATATTCTATTCCCGTTACTTTTAGTGCAGCCCTCGTAATGTCATAATATACTAGTATTGCACGGGTTGGTCATATCTAGTGGCTTAGTAGTGTGCCCAATGGCGTCACGTAAACGTAATTATTACGTTTATACGATAACGGTCCCCACTCACGGTCAGTTACACTGACATCAGTTCAACTGATCATTTCAAATGGGTTTAATCCAAAACAAATTTGACAAACACGATCAGTTCAACTGATCATTCCAACTGATCAGTTCAAACAAGGCCTGTTGATATTTTTAAAATATCGGATTTTCAATATATAGATAATTATAAATATATCAATAACGGAGTTTTATATATCGAAAACATAAGCGATACATCGATGCTTATTGCTTAAAAATGATTTACACAGTTTATAATTTAGTATATTTATTAAACAAATTAAATTATAAATGTATGAAAATGTTAGGTTATAATTCTTAGTAATTATTAATGAGCCGTGGTAGCTCAGATGGTTAGCGTTCGCTGTAAATTTCACAGTACGCGAGTAACCCGGGGTCGATCCCCGCCGGCACCAATGAAATTGTTAATTGCAATTTTAAGTGCTGATTTACCACGTGCTCGACGATGAAGGAAAACATCGTGAGGAAACCTGAGTGTCTAAGAAATAAAATAAAAATTTCAAAAAACGTGAAGTTCGCCAACACGCATTGGGGCAGCGCGGCGGTCGTTGCCCTAAAACCCTCTGAGAAATTAGGAGAGGCCTGCCCAGCTGAGGAGTGCCCAGCATTGGGACGTATAAGGCTGTAACTTTAACTTTAATTATTGTTTAATTTAAATAAGACAATTATGTTTACCAATATTTTTCAGTAAGAGTTTTCAAGAATACTCATTGTTTTATATGTTCAGCTGTTTCAATACTGCGATTATTGTGCACTAAAAGATTGTTTGTAGAAGTAATTCGTTCAGATGCTACGAATGCAGCTGAAGAAATCAAATATTTAACAGCTATTTCTGATAGCACGGCAGTAAATCATAAGACGCCTAAGCGATTAAAATAAGAGGCTTATACCAACATCGAAGCACTTATTTCGTCGTTTTCTCTAATAGCTCACATGCCCAGACACTTAATACACATAATCGCGTCACTTTGATAAAAATCCACTTCAAACGATTATTTAAACGATAAAACAGGAGCAACCATCCGTCAATGGTCAAGCTCCTGCCAAAACTCACAGTAAGTAAAGTAGTACTAAATTTCATAAATTATAGTGATTTTAATATCACAGAGATATACTATACAAAATTACATTTCTTTTTAAGCAAATAAATAAACTGGGGAAAAATGAAAAACTTAATATAGTGTAAATAAAGTATAGTATATATTGAGTCCATCAAGGATTAGGATTTATGTTTACGATGGTGTTGTAGATTAAATGATTTACGTGTTAAAATAAAAAAAATTAAATTATTTTAAAAAATATATCGACTGTCGTAAATCTATATTGTTTCAAACTTATATTTCAATATATGTCGTCCAAAAATAATAAAAAATAAATATCGATATTTCTAAATAATAAAATAGATTTTTCGATATATCGATATTTTATCAACAGTTCTAGTTCAAACGTGGGGCGTGGCCGTGGCGTTTGGTTTGCGTGACTCTTATAAAATATCATATATATAGATAAATTAAATGATATTTAATAGTATCTAAATCTTATTTAATATCATTTCCTGTCTATTAATATACACCTATACAAATAAATTTTGTTTGAAGTGAAGTGTCTATTTGTAATGTCAAAATAACAGTTTTTTACTAAATTCACATGAAAGTACATACGGTACTTATAACAAAAACATAATTTTTAAAATCTTTGTCTATCTTTCTGTCTGTCTGTTTGTTCCGGCTAATCTCCGAATCGGCTGAACCGATTTAGACGAGACTTTCAGTGGCAGATAGCTGATATATGGAGGAACTTAGGCTACTTTTAATTTAGAAAAAGAATTAGGGTTCCGTGAAAAAAAATTAAAACCCGTGAAATCCAATTGTAATAAATTACACGCGGGCGAAGTCGCGGGGAAAAGCTAGTTAATAGATAGGAAATGATATTTTAATTTATAGGAGTCACGCCAACTAAACGCGCACGGCTGCGGCTACATTGATCGAGAAATGAAATATATATAACGTTTCCTATATATTAACACTTCAAAAGATATTTTTATTCATGATAAGGTCAGTATTAAGACACTTTTAAGAAATGGGTCAGATATTATGATTATTTTATTTATTATGGTAAATTTTATTTATTTAATAAATGTGTTATTTATTTTTATCTGTTTATTAAATTACCTATTTGTAAAGCGGGCGACCTCACTGATACTAACTTGCACTCCGGTTACGGTGAGCCCAAAAAAAATCCGTGGGCATGGGCACATTCTGAAGGTCTTATGATGACCAGATAATGCTTATCGGTTTTCAGTAACGGAAATAGTTAGGATGGCCTAGCTTTCTATGTTTATCTAATTGAGCTCTCGGCGTGTTACATACTAAAATAAAGTTGAAGCACCCAAACGTCACGAATTAAAATAATTTAAACAAAATAAAATCCGTAAAGTTTCTTTTATTAAATGTGTAGTATTCGTATAATAAATCAGTCAAAAATCATTGAATTCTAAATACTGCGTACAGGTAACTTGGTCATTTATAGTGCTTGTAGGTTTTCTTGAAGTACGCAGATATTTTCGTCTTCTGGTTGTAGTTGGTTATGCTTTTTCCGTTTTGCCTTGTTTTTTATTGCCTCTAAAATATATGGTCTATTTCTAATTTTGTACCTACTTGGGAGTTGTGCTGCTTTTTTAATTGCCTGAAAATATTATAAAGTGAGTATATTGTTTGTACTATTTATTATATTTCTATTATTTGTGTAGTTACTTCTTGAGCCCTTTCAAATGAGCCCAAACACAATGGTGTTTCGTAGTGGCATAACTGAGATCTTTTACCCCACCTTCTTTGTTCGCCATCATGATGTTAATATAATCACATTGGGCTAGGTCTTTATAAACCCTTTCAAATGATTTCAAACACGATCGTTCTACCTAGTGCCGCCACTGAGATCCTATATCCACCTTCGGACTACACCATCAGAAAGGTGAGGTCATAACACTCATCTAGGTCTTTATTATTATTATTATTATTTATTCATTATTCAGGTAACTACACCCACTTTGTTAGTACACTTAAAACTAGGGGTTAGTATATTTACAAAATACAAATTATTATATATTACCAAAATTATCACTTATTGTTAAACATATTGGGTCTGTACCCCATATGCACTGTATTCCAGTGCCTCATCACAGGGCAATCTTGCCTTCCATATATGGAAGCTAGGAGTCTGTTAGTACTGCCTCGCACGCGACACATCAGGGAGGCTATTCTTTTGCGCATTATTGTTGCAAAGCTGTCCACGCGTGCCTCGGCAAACATGCGTGATGCGCTGTAAAATCGTGGCAGCTCCAACAACATCCTGAGTCCATTGTTGTATTGAATACGCAGCGCATTAAGAGTTCGGCGGGTACACTTTGCCCACAGACTGCAGGTGTAGAATGTCTGACAGTAAGCTTTGAATAATGTTATCTTAACTTCATTCGTACACCTAGCAAACATGCGGGCAAGCATATTACACCTCACTGCCAACGCTCTACGTTCTCGTTCAACATCATAATCGTCAGAGAGATCCTCGGCGACCCACTGTCCCAGATATCTGAATTTGGTTACTCTACTCAGTGTAACTCCTCCAAGTCTAACATGAGGGACATACTTAGGGTTTTTATTTCCACCCTTAAAAACGAGTAGTTCGCTCTTTTTAGAATTATATCTGAGACCATGAGCCGCTGCGTACCTTTCACAGATGCCCACCAGCGTATTTAGGGCCTTGATCGATGGGCTCAGCAAAACAATGTCGTCGGCATAGTTTATATTATTAAGAAAATGACCGTCGATTGAGCAGCCGACTCCGGCATCACTGAGCTCAACGATCAGACCGTCGACGTACAGATTGAAGAATTGAGAGGAGCTAAGGCACTCCAACCTGTACTCCGACGAATATGAGCCAGCCCACTTCACACAGTTGGTTTGGTTGTGATACCAATATTTGAAAAGGTTTATCACTTCCTTGGGTGTGCCAGTTTCCTGGTTAAGTATATCCCATAAGACGTTGTACGAAACCAGATCAAACGCCTTCGACAAGTCCAAAAAAACACGCATAAACTGGCGTTTTTCGCGTAGTGTAATACTGGACAGTATGCTTGAGTCGCAGTATGGCAGCCCCGGCCTGAAACCAAACTGAGCCTCATGTAGGTGAATGTGTTGGCTGAGTTGCTTGTCAAGCAAACCGTCCAGTACCTTTGCAATTACAGTAGCCAAATATATTGGGCGATAATTGGACCCAACGGAGGCATTACTAGTCTTATTTTTTAATATTGGTACAACTATGGTTTTTATAAGCTCTCCAGGTAAGTACGTATGACCTAGACATAGGTTAAACAATAGAGTTAACACCCTCGGCAAATGCACACCCCAATGAGCTCTTTCAAATGAGCTCAAACACGATCGTTCTACCTAGTGCCGCCACTGAGAGTGAGATCCTATACCCACCTTTGGATTGCACCTACTTCGTCACTTAAGCGTACTTCTCTAGGTATTAACATAATATTAACAATGGGTGCCTATTTAAAACTGATATGGAGTGATCAGCTGATCGCGATCCGTCGAAGCCATTTTAACGCTACTATTTTATATTAATTGCTTGGTTTATTGACTAAGTTGACGTTTTAGAGTTTAGAGTATAGAATAAAAACTTTTTTATTTACAAAATCAAGAGATTATTAATAAGAAAGCCTTTACCAACCAGATGTCACTTTAAACCCAAACATTTACCAGATGTCACTTTACACCGAAACACAGTCTATTTTTAACCGACTCCCAAAAAGGAGAGGTTATCAATTATGCATGTACACTGATTTCTAAGACGATTCTAGATCAATTCGTATATACATGCTAACATTTTAGTGGTTGTTTTCCCGCAACCAAATTATGATAAAATAAAAAATATTACAACTAAAAAAGTTTTGCTTTTCTCGATTGTAAATCTGCTATTTTTGCATCCTAATAATTTTTATTTTAATAAATCTGTTGTACTATCAAGACAAAATCATTTTACTTCGGGAAAACAACCATTAAAATTTCAGCGTGTATATTGGGTCAAACTGTGTGTATATGCTTTCAAATAAAAAAAATCTAAATCGGTTTAGAAATTATAGAATTCTGAGGTAAAAAATTAATAAAATACTGAGAAGCTCCTCCTTTTTTGAAGTCGGTTAAGATTAAACATTACACGATGTGCTTATTGTATTCGAGCAAATTAATTTTGTTTAATAATATTCTTAAATTTTATTACGTCTGCATTTTTGTACCATTAAAATATGTATAATAAACTTATATTAGTACCATCATTATTGTGTTTATTTTATTCCATTTTATATTCTCATAAAATACGTCTTGGTACGTAATACGTAATCTTTATTATATCGATTATTTTAAATTAATCAATAAAATAGTGATTTGCGTAATTTGATGGCAAACGCTTCAGGTGTTGCTGGTATCACTGAATGGCGTGTATGTGTGCGTGTGACGAGCGTAGGCACATTCGACTCGCGCTCACTAACATAATGACCTTGCATCACGTTAACGCTCGTGTTTTGTACTAGACTTCGTTTCTAGTGGGTAATAATTCTATGAAAACGATGTTGACCGGGTAAAAAAATAAAATATAGTTTCTGTCACGGTAATTACTTTGTAACAGTAAACAAAGTTTTAAAATATTTTTTCGACAGCAAATATGTTTAGAAAATATTATCAAACGGTTTACTGACTGTTAAAGACTAACATAAAATCAGTGTTCTCTAGGCAAGTTTTTTTGTTATGAAATATTTTTCTAAAACATTACTGTTGAAACTCAGCATCAGTAATGAATATATTGGACATATATTTAAAATTTCATAGCAATATATGTGTTTCTTCCTATTTTTCTTAATGCGCCATGTAGTTTGATTGATGTACTAATTAACAAAAATAATTTGAATATACATGACCAAACAGTTCTAATATATTAAAGTTCGGCACAATATTTTTGCACGTTTTGAAGAACTACCCAGGCCTCTAATTGTGTCCTCAAAAACGTTTACAAGTCAGTTCTCCGGATATAAAATTTCAGTTAAGTTTTCCAGTCATCAACTTATTTTAATTTTAACATACCTACATACAGAGGACTGACAATCATACTACTAGGTACTTAAAGTTTATGTCATGTTATAGTTGGGCAAATGGTCGGAAGCAAAATCGCTGAGCGAAACGGCGGCACGTGATGATCCATATTCATGCACAGCCCGTGTGACCAGTGCGTTGGCCGACTTGGCAGCTGCTCGTGCGGCCAACAATGTGGAAAACCTGCCTGATATCGCAACAGATGTTGCCCGGCGTCTTGTCGCCGCCAGTCACCTTGATCCTGCTGATCTTGTTGCCATGCACGATTTAGGTATTTATCCTTTTTTATAAGTTCTTTTAAAGATTCGACTTGTTTTAATTTTTTTTTACAGGAGAGGTGGCAAACAAGCATGCGGCTCACCTGATGGTAAGTGACTACCGCCGCCCATGAACAACTGCAGCATCAGGGAATTTACAGATGCGTTGCCGGCCTTTTAAAAAGGAGTATGCTCTTTTCTTGAAGGTCCCTAAGTTGTATCGGTCCGGAAAAATCGCTGGTGGTAATCGATCCACAAGGAAGTTGTGCGAGGAAGAAAACTTCTTTTAAATCGCACAGTAGTGGACAGCTATTCATCCAGATGTATGGATGGTATCGCGAGTTTTGCCGCGATGTGCGATGGTGAAATTGAGAGGCTGGAATCAGTCCGAATAATTCCACAGAGCACTCCCCGTGATAGATGCAATAAAATACGCACATAGATGCAACATCTCTACGCAGTGCCAGTGAGTAAAGCTGATCGGAAAGAACTCGGTCGTCGACGATTTGAACCGCTCTGCGCTGGATGCGGTCAAGTGGAAAGAGCTGGCACTGGGGAGCTCATGCCCAGAGATGGGAACAGTATTCCATGTGAGGCCGAACCTGCGCCTTGTAAAGTTGCAAGTGGTGTCATCATCATCATCATTACAGCCCTTCACAAGTCCACTGCTGAATGTAGGCCTCCCCCAAGTAATGCCACAAAACACGTATCTGAGCCACCTGCATCCATCGACTTCCTGCATATCTTACCCGGTCGTTACTCCATCTAGTAGGGGGACGCCGAACACTTCGCCTGCCGGTACGAGGCTGCCACTCGAGAACCGTTTATCCCCATCGGTTGTCGGTTCTTCGAGCTATACGGCCGGCCCATTGCCACTTCAGCTTACTAATCCGTTGGGCTATGTCGGTCACTCTGGTTCTACTGCGGATATCCTCATTTCTGAGTTTATCACGCAGAGAAACTCCGAGCATAGCCCTCTCCATAGCTCGCTGAGCGACCTTGAGCTTCCTCATCCGGCCAGTAGTGAAGGACCACGTCTCAGTTCCGTATGTCATCACTGGCAACACGCACTGGTTGTACAGTCTCGTTTTCAAGTTTTGAGGTATACCTGACGAGAAGATGTGCCGTAATTTCCCGAACGCTGCCCAACCGACTTGAATCCGTCGATTGACCTCTCGGTCGAAGTTGGACTTACCTAGTTGGACTATTTCTCCCAGGTAAACATAATCGTCAACAATTTCGAGCTTAGTGCTCCCAACAACTACCGGCATATGTGTGACATGGACATTAAACATGATCTTTGTTTTGTCCATGTTCATCTTAAGACCTATCCGTTGGGAAGCACTATTGAGGTCATTGAACATAGTGCTAAGGTCCTCCAGCGATTTGCCATAAGGACTATATCGTCGGCAAATAAATAAATAAATTCGGCAATAAAAAAAAGGTGAGTGATGTACTCGCCATTGATGTTAATACCGTATCCTTTCCAGTCCAGAAGCTGGAAAACGGCTTCCAATGCAGCGGTGAAGAGTTTCGGGGATATGACGTCACCCTGTCTTACACCTCTCTGCAATTGGATAGGTTTCGTACTCTGGTTCTGTACTCGGATAGCCATCGTAGCCCTACTGTACAAGCACTTCAGTACCTCGATATACCGACAGTCAACTTGGCACCGCTGAAGGGTCTGCAGCACCGCCCAAATTTCAACGGAATCAAAGGCTTTCTCATAGTCCACATACGCCAGACATAGTGGCAAATTGTACTCCTCTGACTTCTGTACAATTTGCCGAAGGGTATGTATGTGGTCTATGGTGCTAAAGCCCTTTCGGAAACCGGCTTGTTCGGGAGGCTGGAAGTCGTCAAGTCTGCGCGCGAGACGATTCGTAATGACTCTCGAAAACAGCACGTAGACGCGGCTCAGAAGGGAAATCGGTCTGTAGTTCTTCAAGAGAGCGTTGTCGCCTTTCTTGAAGAACAAGACCACCGCACTTCTGCTTCACGCCTCCGGTGTAATGCCACCATGGAGGACAGAATTAAGGAGCTTCTGAAGGAATTCAAGTACCGGTTTTCCGCCCGCTTTCAGAAGCTCCGCTGTAATTCCATGCTCGCCCAGGCGAGCTCCAGGGCCTTTCCGTTTTTAAGGTGCTAGAGAGCCATTCTAATCTCGCTCAGACTGACGTCCGGGATATCATCGGAATAATGTCTGATAAGACTTGGTCTTGGATCGTTACTCACACTTGCGTGTGGCTCCAACGATGACGTGTACAGCTGCCCATAGAACCTCTCAATCTCACTCAAAATCTCAGGTGCCCCGGAAACGATGCTGCCATATTCTGTCTTCAGCCTTGACATTTGGCTCTTTCTGGCAGACAGATCTCTGGCAAAGACTTTGGAGCCTTGGTTACGCTCGGTCGCTTCTTCAATACGAGCTGTATTGAAGTTGCGTAAGTCCCGCCGCATGCATTTTAACGGTGGTAGAGCCCTGCAGCAGTTTTTTGCTGTTGCACGTATGGGCCGGCTCGAGCCGGGTTGGTACCACGACCTCACAGAATACCGGCGTGAAGTAGAGGCTCTGCTTCTGCGTTTCGTCTGGTGAGTGCAGGTGGCAGGAGGCCCAATTCCCCCCCCCCCCCCCCCCCCCATCAACATGGTAGCGGAATTAGACAATAGACTACCCCAGGAGGGTACCAGTACCCCTGGAGAATCCCTCGCTGAGCATCCACGACCATGTTATTCCAATCCTGAGCGTGGGTGCTCAGGCTGCCCCGCGTATTCTGGGGGGGGCAAAATTCCGCTCAAAAACAAAACTGCTCGGGGCAAGCTGAGCAACAATACCAAGGCGACCCCTGCCACGCTATCCGTGAATTTCTGCAACATCAGGGGACTTCACTCTAACCTAACGCCGTCCACTACCATCTCGAGACGGCGAAGCCGGCCTTGCTCTTTTTGACCGAGACGCAGGTTTCCTCTCCGACTGATATTTCGTATCTCTCCTACCCGGGGTACAAATTGGAGCACTCCTTTGTGCCTCGGGCTGGAGTTTGCGTGTATGTTAGAGAGGACATCTGTTCTCGACGCCTCGGCAGTCTTGAAGGTTCGGACCTGTCCATCCTTTGGCTACGCGTAGACAGCGACGACCATCCGCGCGTCTACGGGTGCCTCTATAGGTCCCATAGCGGTTATGCCGAAACAGACCGACTCATCGACCACGTCCAAATGGCTACAGATTCCTTGCTACAACAGGTCCCATCCGCAGAGATCGTGATCCTTGGCGATTTTAACGCCCACCATGCCGAATGGCTCGGTTCACGTTTACCGATCATGCGGGGAGATCTGTTTATGACTTTGCCTTGGCATATGGTCTGACACAACTGGTTACTTCGCCTACGCGGATTCCAGATGTGGAGGATCATACACCTTCCCTGTTGGACCTTCTGCTGACCTCTCATCCGGACGGATATCAGGTTTCCGACGATGCCCCTCTCGGCTCTTCGGACCATTGTCTGATCCGGAGTATGGTGCCACTCACGCTCCCTTCGCGGTTGCGTTCTGCAGGTTGCCGCCGTGTTTGGCATTACAGGTCGGCGGATTGGGACGGAATGCGGTCTTTCTTTGCATCCTACCCATGGGGGCGGGTTTGCTTCTCGCCGGATGATCCCAGTGCTGTTGCTGACTCTGTCACTGATGTGGTGCTACAGGGAATGGAACTATTTATTCCATCATCTGTGGTACCCATCGGAGGCAGATCTCAGCCTTGGTTTGGTCGCTCCTGTAAGACTGCATTGCGCAGTAAGCAGGAGTGTTATCAAGCCTGGGCTGCGGCTTCGGTGACTCGGGATGTAAACACCAGCACACTTAAAAAGAAGTATAACTTCGCCTCCAGGTCCTTCAAAAGAGTTATTGCCAAGGCAAAGTCAGAGCACATAGGCAGAATTGGCGAGAAACTAGTTCGCCTTCCTTCGGGAACCCGTGCATTCTGGTCTCTCGCCAAGGCTGTCCAAGGGAATTTCTGTAAGCCATCACTACCATCTCTGCACAGGGAGGACGACTCACTGGCCCAAGACGCAAAAGACAAAGCCGACCTTTTAGGCTCCCTTTTTGCGTCCAACTCGACTCTTGATGACGGGGGGAAAATACCGCCGACCATCCCGCGGTGTGAGTGCTCCATGCCGGATGTGCTATTCTCACAGCGCTCAGTTCGCAAAGCACTTCTCTCCCTGGACATCCAGAAGTCGAGTGGGCCTGACGGAATCCCCCCAATTGTGCTGAGGACGTGTGCTCCGGAGTTGGCACCGGTCCTAACGCGTCTTTTCCGGTACTCCTACTCCCAAGGCGTAGTCCCGAATTCATGGAAGACAGCTTTTGTCCACCCGATCCCTAAAAAAGGCGACCGCTCAGACCCGTCCAACTATAGGCCTATCGCGATCACCTCCTTGTTCTCCAAAATAATGGAATCCATTATTAACTGCCAGCTCATCCGGTATCTTGAGGATCACCAGCTGATTAGTGACCGCCAATACGGTTTTCGTCGGGGTCGATCAGCTGGTGATCTTCTGGTCTACCTGACCCATAGATGGGCGAAGGCAGTAGAGTCCAAGGGGGAGGCGTTGGCCGTTAGTCTGGACATTGCGAAGGCCTTTGATCGGGTTTGGCACAAAGCGCTTCTTTCGAAGCTGCCTTCCTATGGGCTTCCCGAGAAATTGTGCAATTGGATCACCAGCTTTCTTGCAGATCGGAGCATCAAGGTCGTTGTAGACGGTGCATGTTCTGACTACAAGCCTATTAACGCTGGTGTTCCACAAGGCTGTGTGCTATCACCAACGCTGTTTCTTCTGCATATCAATGATATGTTGCTAACTGGTAACATTCATTGCTATGCGGATGACAGCACTGGTGATGCTCTATACACCGGCCGGGCCAATATTTCTCGGGAAAACGTCGCCGAGTACCGGAACAAACTTGTGTCTGAAGTCGAGTCTTTGCTGGACAAAGTCTCGGATTGGGGGCGACTAAA